GATGTCAGGCAGGGTGGAGGTGTGAATACATTCACACCAAAAATACACACCAACATTAGAGAGATTTAAAGAATGCAATGTCTTTATCTTGTCCTCCAAATAAAACCAGCCAGAAGTTATAAAACATATCTGGTTGTTTATTGAGAAAAATAAAACTACATAAAATACAGGTTTCATGCAAAACATATAAAAATCACTTCTTCTCATTTATGTGGCATCCAAGACTAAAAACAAAACTTATCCAATACACAAGTTCAACTCCAAAGTCTTTAGCCAACAACTCTCAGAGAAGTGGTACACTACTTAGTTATTAGTTACAACTACATAATCTATAAAACTGATTACATGATGACTAAAACCCTACTAGCACTGAAGCATACAGTCACCCACAATTTATTGGAACTATGCACCTCCCCTTAGGTAACTAGGATGAAGACACCAATAGGTGGCAGTAAATAGCAGTATACGTGCAAACTAGAAGGCCAATACAGGTGGCGTGATTTCTATAGCCATAACATTTTGTTTGAAGATAAGCGATTTGCTCTTCTTCCCATGAGAACATCCTAACACCCCTCCCAAATTGCTTTCGAAATACAATACACATTACAGGGTGGTACAGTAAATTGATTACAATATTTAGTAACAATTACATTTGTTCAAATCCGAGTTTAGTAAGCATTGCTTCATGTTTTACAATAGATAAAGGTTTAGTGAACACATCTGCAAGATTTGATTCAGATACGCAATACACAAGATCTATGAAATCTTCTAAAATAGCTTGTCTTACATTTTTATACTTGACATCTACATATTTTGTATGAGCTCTTAGGTTTTCTGTTTTAGCTAACCCTATACAAGCTTGAGAATCTTCATACACTGTATAAGGCAATGATACATGTATATCTAAGTCAGTGAATAATTGATGAAACCATCTTAACTCACAGACTGTTTCTGACAAAGCTGCAAATTCTGCTTCTGCTGTTGAAATACCTATTGATGTTTGTTTGATACATGTATATCTAAGTCAGTGAATAATTGATGAAACCATCTTAACTCACAGACTGTTTCTGACAAAGCTGCAAATTCTGCTTCTGCTGTTGAAATACCTATTGATGTTTGTTTCTTTGCTTTCCAAGCAATAGTAGATTCACCAAATTTGCAAATAAAACCAGTTACAGATTTTCTATCCCCCTCCTCTGCAAAAGAGCTGTCAACAAAAATCACAGGACTTTCAGGCCCAATAGTTGACATTTTAAGACAAAGGTTTATTGTGCCTTTTAAGTATCTTATTATTCTTTTTAATCCTTGCCAGTCATGCTCTGTTGCTTTGGCTACTTTACAACTTAAAACTCCTATAGAATATGACAAATCAGGGCGTGTCCATTGTGCCAGGTGAAGGATAGAACCTATTACAGAATGATACACTTCAGGTTTTTCACACAATTCTTCACACATTTCACCTTTCAGAAAATCACAAACCATTGGTGTTTTTACAGGTTTAGCATCTGACATTCCCATTTGTGTTAATAACGGTTCTATCTTTTTCTTTTGACTTAGATAGATTTGTCCATTGTCAGATCTATACACTTCAATACCAAGGTAGTATCTTAACATACCTAAATCCTTCAATTTAAAATATTGCTTCATTTGATTGGCAAATTCTTTTATAAGATTTAAAGATCCAGTAGCAAGACAAAAATCATCAACATAAGTAAGAAGTACTGTGTAGTCTTCTCCAGAACCTCTAGTGTACACACATGGATCAGCTAATGATTTCTTGAAACCAGTTTCCAACAAAACTTTTATCTAAACATTGATGCCAACATCTTCCAGCTTGTTTCAATCCATATAGTGCTTTATGCAATTTATAGACTTTATGGGGATTGCT